GAGAAGAATATTTGGAGAAGTAAAGGTGAGGCTTTCAAACCTAAGAACACGGAACAGGCTGTCAAGCAGGGTGATCATCATATATTTGCTGCAAGAGGTACTGGTACATTGCACAACATCGGTGGAATAATGAAGAAGCAGGATTACCTCCAAACTCTTCAACTTCACCTCAGATCAGCTGCTAAATGATTGAACTTGGACACAATCGGGTGTTCCAACAGGAAAATATTTGTAGCAGGGCAACAATGACCTTCTGAAATTAACTTTCTAACTTTCTAAAGCCGCAGCCTAAACCCTATTGAAAATCTGTGAGCTACATTTTAAAGGTTTATGCCTCTAAACCAACTGATTTAAACGAACTCTACCAATTCTGCTAAGAAGAGTGATTAGATATAGAATTATGCCAGAAGCTTGTTGATGGCTATCAATTGCATCTAGTTGAGGTGCAACTTGCTAAGTGATATTTAATCCAATATTACGCAGGTGTATGTATATATAATTTATCCATGTGTAGATTAGAGAAATTTATTGATTTTATTTATTTCTTAAACAATTATCCTGTACAATTGTTTCACCCTGGACAAAGAACAATTCAATGATTAGTGACCACAGACAGCTACAGGAAGTAGCTGCCATGGCCAAGAAAGAGTCATGCTCAAAATACCATAGAAAACAGAGTAATTTTTTTTTTTTTTTTACACTTTTAGGTTTTGTGTAGATTAAACAATCAAGGTGGTGTTTTCATTTCAGAACTTTAATAAACGTCTTCAGAACTTTTGTACAGAGCTATAGTCTAACTAAACTGAATCCAGTCCTGCTGCATAGAGAGAATATTATCAATCTTTTGGTCAAGGCTTAACAAGTAAAAGAGTAAAGTAAAAGTTTGAACATGATGAGATTTTCATGTTACTCAAAGCATTGTTGCTTTTCAGGCACCAACATCAACAGTGCTATACTGGATGCAGTTAGTTTGCTGAAGAAAGAAAGAAAAGAAAAGAAAGTTCCAGAGAGGAGTATGGATATGATTTTTCTACTGACTGACGGGATGCCAAACAGTGGTGAGACAATCTTAAACATTCTGTGTGTTGAAAATTGTGGTGGATCCACAAATGGGACAGCAGGGAGAGACAGGGGTCCGGGCTGCTTCAGCGCCCGTGCCGGCTCCTTTACTCATTTATAATAGCATATAAATGAATATTAACAATGTTAGGGAGTAAGATGGAACTGATTTGTTATGTAAAGCTGACACCCAACTCGACAATTTCATTGGAAATGGAAGCTTTTTAATGCATGCTCATATGTAAGTGTGTTTGTGTCTGCAGGGGTGACCAGCCCCCAGCTAATCCAGCAGAATGTATTTTCTGCTATTGGAGGAATCATGTCTCTGTTCTGTCTTGGATTTGGAAATGATGTGGATTACTCCTTCCTGGATGTTATGTGCAGGCAAAATAAAGGAGTGGCCCGCAGAATTTTTGAGGGTTCAGATGCTGCCATTCAACTCAAAGTAAGGCAAGAAATTAAGAACATTAATGACTGTAACATGAAAATCAATGCAAGCGTAGAAATGCTAGACATAAATGGCAACAATTCGTTCAAGAATTTCATTTTGTGTCTTTGTTGCAGGGTTTCTACGAGGAAGTGTCCAGCCCTCTGCTCTTGGAGGTGGATCTGCGTTATTCAGAGAATACAGACTTCTTAACCAAAACTCACTACAGCCAGCTGTTCAACGGCTCAGAGATCGTGGTTGCTGGTCAGCTGAAGGAAAATGACGTGGAAAACTTCTTGGTGGAAGTGTTTGCCCACGGGGTGAGAAAAGGGAGAGCACATTATTAAAGTATTTCCTTTACAACATGAGTTTGACTTCAGATCTATGTTAGTGCTCATACAAATGAGCCTTATTATTCAGTCTTACTGTGACTGAATATGGAATTTCACGAACTGTAAATGAACCGAGCTGTAATTGACTGTTGTAGTCCGAACATCAAGTGGAGTCTCATTACTTTTCATTCTTTTCTGCTTTCAACTTAAGATTCTAAGCTAGTGGCTTTCATCCATCTTTATACTTATGTGAAGCACAATACTTATGCTTATAAGATCAGATCTGTGTAAATACCTTAAACAACTATGACAAAGTTAGTACTACGTTCCTACCAGCATATATCTACCCACCTTACCAACTGTAAGTGCTTCATGAACTTCAACTCTTTAAACTAAAATGAAAACAAATCTGTGTGTGGTGTTCAATTCAATTAATGATGGTATAGCGACAAATCACAACAATAGTCAGTTCAAGACACTTTATATTGTAAGGTAAAGACCCTATGTTAAAGACTTAAAGAATAAATAAATATATGGAATAAGAAAAATGTTTAATGCTAAAGTCACAAAATGTGTTAAGATGGATGATGGGATAAAGGCCCATTTTCAAAGCTCATGTGATATTTATGTACTTTACTGTAAGCTGAGTTATTTAGCCAGCTTCATAAAGCTTTCATGGAAGCTTTGCTTTGCAAGTTGAACAAACTTTAGATGCTGCAGTTACTCTGCAGATTTGGAAAACACTGTCGACACCATCTCAGATTCTAATAATTGAATATCTATGAAACGTAATTATCTGAAACAATATTAGCATGCTGATGTCAGCTTGCTAAAAAATAAAAAAAAAGTTGAGTGGCTGCACAGAATAATGTTTGTCATTTAATCTTTCCTTTTTAACAAGTCTGAAGAGAACTTTGTGGCACAGGGAAAGGCCAGTGTGACTGACTGGCAGACAGTGTACCCAGAAAAGGGGTACATTTTTGGAGATTTCATTGAGCGTATGTGGGCCTACCTCACCATCCAGCAGCAGCTGGAGAACAGGTTGGTTCATGGGGAAATTTTTCTGTTACCGTGCAGAAAATTTTATTGATGGTGATTTATTTTTTTTTTTTCGTTAAACATTATGTTATACATCATAATGAATTATTAACGTCATGTCCATCTTGTCCTCTGTCTCTCTTCCAGTGCTCTCAGTACTAAAGAGGAGAGAGGAAATATAGAAGCCAAGGCTCTGAACCTGTCTCTGAAGTATAACTTTGTCACCCCTCTCACATCCTTGGTGGTCACCAAGCCTGAAAACGAGAATGGAGCTGATCGCTCTTTCATTGCTGACAAGCTGACTGAAAGTAGGAGGAAGAAAATCCACTGCTTATTAAATTAGCAGAAACATTCTTCTCCCATCACTTTGGCAAAAATAACTTTTTCTTTTTCATTTCTTTCCTATTTTACAGGCCAGCGACAGCAAGCAGAAAGACACATGGGTATGGGAAGTCTTTGAATGGAATTTAATGTGTTTTCATTTACTTTTTAAACTGCTATAAGAGAAGAATTTCCCAAATCTGGTAAAGCCTAAAGTAAAGCCTTTCTTATCTTATCTGACTTACACAATGCATATGAAGGAAACTGTGCTTATAGCAGGTGCACATGCATCGCCTGCTGTCGGCTCGCGTGTAATTGATGGTAAGTGTTTCATATGTAACATTTTTTTACGGACTTAAATAGTTGACAGGTGGTTTCGGTGTTTTTTTTGTTTGTTTTTTCATTTCATGCTATTATAATAGGTAAACATTACAGCTTCCTTATACAGTTAATGAAAACATTCATAGAAGACTCAAGAAACTCAGGAGTTGTGAATGTTTTGACCGTCATTATTTAAGATGTCTGCCATATCAAATACAATGTTACAATATTAGTAATACTAATGTATTAATGGGGTCATGGTATGTCAATTTGGGCCAAAATGTCTGAGAACTGTTACCAGAGCCTTGTTTAACACGTTTCACAAAGAATTAAGGCTGCTTTCAAGGTAAGTGGGGTTCAGCCTCGTACTACCAAGATGTACCTAATAAAATGTCAAGTAAGTGTATTTAACTGAAAACATTTAATTCTGAAAAACCAGGCTGTACACTGCTGTCATAAGGGCAGGTAAGATAGTTTTACTGTTGGTGCAGACTCTGTTTTATTATAATAACACACCTGTCAGCTCAATAATTAAATTAGCTTTTTACTCAGATATACCTTTTTTTTTCTAGACTTACTTGCTGCAGTTGATGGAGATCCCCATTTTATGATAGAGCTTCCAGATAAAAACGACGCTCTGTGCTTCAACATCAACGACAAACCAGGAACCATTTTCAGTCTGGTCAGAGACCCCAAATCAGGTCTGTCCTGAGTCTTACTGAAGGACTCCCCAAACTTTGATTCTGTTCATCTGGACGTAGCGTTTTCAGTGGGAGAAACGTTTTGTCTCTCATCCAAGTGACTTCTTCAGTCTCAGCTGACTGCAGGTTTCTCCAGTCTCATAAATGGTACATTTGCATAACAACTGAAACTAGCACTACTGTAATGATCAAGGAACTGACCTCCCAGCCTATTGTTTCTTCAGTGGGCTGGTTTCAGTCATTATGCAAATGTACTGTTTATAAGATTGGGGAAACCTGCAGACAGCTGAGTCACTTGGATGAGAGATGAAACATTTCTCCCACTGAAAACGCTACGTCCAGATGAACAGAATCAAACTTTGGGGATTTACTTACCTGGACGATTGAGCATGCATCAAGAAGATACTGAAGGACTCATTCTAATGGGAGAATTTTCTTTTTTCAAATTTTCCAAATTCATTATCCTCCCTCATTTCAGGCTTTGTGGTGAATGGCCAAATAATTAGCAAGAAGAAAGTTGCTCTGGATGGTAACGTGAACACCTACTTTGGCCGTTTTGGTATCACACATCAGAACCTGGGGGTGAGACTGGATGTGAGCATTCAGGATATCTCTGTTTTCTACAATGACAAGCAGGTCAAGCTGCTGTGGTCTGATGCCACCTCACTCAGAGATGCCAAGTGAGTAAAATCCCCAGGCAAAACACATGCGTAAAGTTGAAATTATTAAATATTTTAAACCATTTTTCAGTCCCACTAATTACTATATGTACTTTAATCACATTTGCAAATGACGTTAGTTCTTTTCCTTCATTTTTTCATGTGTTTTCCATCTTGGATGCCTCTGACCAAGTATGGAGCTCAAGCTAGTTAAAAACTGCAGTCTGACAGTGACGCTGAGGCACTCAGTGAAATTCAGGGTCATCCGACACACAAAGGTTTGGAAGAGACGCCACGACCACCAAGACTACCTGGGTTTCTACACTCTGGACAGCCAGCACTTGTCTGCTTCAGTTCATGGTCTGCTAGGTATTAAACTGCAAGAAGCTTTGATATAGTAATAAAGTGACTGTGTAGCTCACAGGTGTCGAACTCCAGGCCTCGAGGGCCGGTGTCCTGCAGGTTTTAGATGTAACCTTGATACAAGACAACACACCATAAAGGCTAAATGACCTCCTCAACATGTCTTGAAGTTATCCAGAGGCCTGGTAATGAACTAATCATTTGATTCAGGTGTGCTGACCTAGGGTGAGATATAAAAACTGCAGGACACCGGCCCTCGAGGCCTGGAGTTCGACACCCCTAGCTCTTTTGTTTTTACTAAAAACTAATTCTTAAAACAGAAACAAAAGATGTCACATAAGCTATTTTGCTACAGGTCAGTTCTACCGTGGGGTTGTGTTTGAGCTGACAGACCTGCGTCCAGGTGAAGGCCAGGAGAAACTGGATGCCACCATGTACGTGAAGGGGCAAAGGCTGAATGTGACAAGGTGAGGTGACTCCTTAAATTTTAGAAGTGTGCATAATATTCACTCAGCCTTAAAGTTAGTTTCCTTTCATGTATGTGCAAATCATCCTTGAAAAAAAACATCTATATATTCTGTAGACACTGGCAAAAAGACTTCAACAAGGATGTGAAGAATGGAGAAAGCATCGCCTGCTGGTTTGTTGACAACGAGGGAAGAGGCCTGATCGATGGAACAGCCTCAGACTACACCGTGTCAGACCTTTTTACGGCTATTTGAAAACGCAAAGTGCGATCAGCATTGCACTGGGAGCTGCAGGGTAGATTTACATGCTCTGGGTGGTGTGTGATGAGAAGGCATTGTAGTGAGTCGCTGGGTGTTTTCTATTTCAAAGTGACACATGCAAAAACTGAAAGCAAGTGCATGTTTATATTAATGCAAGCATATCACGTTACAGTATATTTTGAGTGTACGTGTTTGTGTCCTTCTGGCATTACAGAGTGTAATCGAACCTCTCCTGCTAAATGTTATTTAGTCAAACAGCATCAGTGAGATAGTTTGCTTTACTCACACAATGACAGTGTGTGAGTCAAGATAGATTTAATGATGACACAAATAACATGGCAGGTAAAGCTTTCTGAATAGTCTGCATATATGACATACTGCATTCATTTCTCTATGCTTTCTTGGAATTAAATAAATATTTTGCTTTTTAAAAAAGTGCTCCCTGTCAGCATAAAAAAAAAAAAAGATATTGGACTTGAGAATGGCACACGGTGTTCACATTTTCTGTGCTTCAGCTGTTGAAAAACTGGTTAGCAGGCTGAGTTTGGTCATGTCAGCTGCAATTATAACACAGATGTCATCTAACCTAGTCAAGCTCAACAGTAATAAAACAGAACTTATTGTTGTGGCCTTCAAAGCCGTACTCCCGAAGATTGGCGATCTACTCACTGACATAGTCGGTCGCCACATCCTACTATCCCCAGAAGTTCACAATCTGGGTGACAATTTGAGTTTCACACTTCCATTCCAGGCTCATATAAATGAAATGTCACCTGATGAGCAGAGACCCTCATCCATGACTTTTTCACCAACTGGCTGGATTATTGCAGTGAGGTCCTGGAGTCCTAGACAGGCTCCAGTATGTCCAGAAACTCAGCTGCTAGGCTTTTTTTTTTTTTTTGGCCTGTCCCGTTTGGCTCTTTTGCCATCAGAATTGTTGTCTAAAGGCAAAGAAAGATGCCCAA